AGGCTTGGAAAGAGGCTCAGCTGGCTCCACTGATTAGGGGGCTACTCAGGTGCTGGGAGCAGGACACGAACCAGGCCTCCAAGCTGGGCTGGGGATCGATACTCCTCTGCCTGTCCTGTAGGCTCTACAGAGCAATGTGGGAGGGAAGCTGGGCACAGGCTGCAGACAGGAGCTGGCAGCAGCAGTAGAACAGGATGGGCACCAGTGCCACACGGCCCTGGGCAGCTCTGGGCCCCCCAGTGATTGCTGGGTGCAGGGGTTTAGCTCAGGCTCATCTTCCCAAAGCAACATGCACTGAGCCAGCAGAGCAGGGAAGAGCAGGATGGAAAACGGGAACAAAGACCAGGAGCAAGGTCTGAGCCCTGGCTAGGGGGGGAGAGGGGGAGGACAGGTGGGAGCGGTTCTCAGGTTTCTAAGCCTGTGATCAATTATATGAGGCAAGGTCACTTCTCTCAGCCCACTAACATGGCTCTTCTGTCAAAGCAGGCACCTGCGGTGCATCACCACACACGGGCCACCCGCTCCCTCCGCTCCAGAGACCCACGTACCTCTGCCATTCAACATCTCAGAGCAACCAGGAGAGGGCAATGACACCTACACGTAACCTGTGCAATCCAGCCCTGGCATGGGACCCGGGGTTCCCCTTCCACCCTTCCAGTGCCACTCCAGGCCCACCCACCCCCTGCTTGAATCTCGCAACAGTGAACACTGCAGGCCTCCAGCTGAGGCTCTGCTCTCTGTCATGATAAACTGAAACATGCACCAACTTTGAGAAAAGGAGAGAGGAAGAAGGCTAATAAAAAAAAATTACAGCTGCTGAGCCAGACAACTTCCACACAGCTCGAGTTCCAGCTCGGTCACTGCTGACCAAGGTCCACCGTGTGCAAAACTCTACAGCACTGACCGATCTAATATCTGAAATGGATAACGGCCCATAAACAGACCACTGCAGAAATCACAGGGAGTCTCTGTTAATAGGATTTCCTTGTCAAACTTAATTAAAAAAAAAAAAAAAGCTTTACCAAATGTAACCCTCCTTTCCAGGACCCGAGATGGCCCTGCTGCCTGAGATGTGACTACAGGGGATGACACCTTGTTTGTTATGTAAATAGATGAAGGCAGGAAGAAATGTTAATTTGCTCCGTGCTGTTGCCTCTTGGTTACTTGGGAGATCGCAGCGGGGTCATCATTAAAAGGAGATAGCTTTGGAAATTAGAAATGAACAATTGTCTTAATGAACAGCCAGGCCTCTGCCACTGAGTTCAGGGCTTGGTTTGGGCTTTGTCATACGGTAGCACTTTTTCCGAGCTGCAGTGTTAATCAGCATTGTTTCCACTGATTGACTTGAATGCAGATGGTGTTTGTTACTTTTAGGCTTGCACACGCAAGGGGTTGAGCAAGCGGCCCTTTGATGGGGTGCTGGACTGGTACTGGGTTGATGTGACTTCAGTCTGTGCCTCCGGCACACATGGGAGCTACGTAGGTGAGATGTCACTTAGACCAAGCCTCTCAAACTGGCTCTGGCTCCCAGGTCCCAAGCAAGTGCAAACCTGAGGACAAGACACTGAGGTCTTAAAATGGGACAGTATTTCCTTTCTTTCCGGGGAGGTTGGAAGATTCAAGTCGAAGACTATCTCTCTTGTATGTATGTGCTGCGCCTAGCAGGCTGAGGCCCTGATCTCGGTGTTGGACTCTAGGTGCTATTACAGTGATGTTCAGGGGCTCTATGTTACCCACTGGGCCTTAGCGGCAGTAATTGTGCTAAATGGTTCCTATAGCGCAGAGAGTTCAGCATGGGGCTGCATGTGCTGCAATAGTGCAGTTCACACGTTGCCTTTTACCCTGAAATGAGGGATAAATCTGCCCCATGTGGGCACAAGGAGCCACGAACCTTTTCTGAGATGAGCAGCAGGTGATGAACTGAAGAGTTGCCGGTGGCTCGGAGCTGTGGGCTGCACTATTGTATTATAAATAATCCCGGCAGAACGCAAAGCTGACTAGAAACCGAGTCGAGAGACTGGTCGATTGGCTGTACGCAGCTCTATCTGAGCCATCAAAGCAAACAGGCACCCCAACTGGTTTTAAAAGGCCTGCTCGCTGACCCGGCCGAGGTCCACAACCTCAGTTCACTCCCCTGTCATGCCCCACCACCCTGGCTCCCCTCCAGCTGTGTGTTCCCTGCTCTCCTGGGATTTCTTACCCAGCACTGCAGGCCCAAGAAGAGTCCTGTGCAACATCTGAGTCCAATTCCCCACTGGGCGCAGCCTGGGAAGGAGACCGGTGTTGCAGAGGCCTGGGGCTAAGACTACCTTGAACATGGCACAGGGGCAGGATCCATGCCAGCTCGAGGGAGTGCCGGTTCATGCCAGGCCTGGCTGCCGAGCATTCGCAGCAGCTGGGCTCGCTGAGTGAGCACGGGCACAATCCATGTGGCTTGCTGCACACATCTCCCCTGGGCTTCCTGTTGGACCTCCCCTTGCTTGCTATTCCACCAACTACTGGGAGATAACTGGAGTTTGCCCTACCGTAGCCCTCAAGGAGCCTTCCTTGGGACAGGTATCACCTCCCTTCCTGTGTCGGGGGGTGATTCCCCAGCCTGGAGGCACAATCCAAGACCCAGGGAAGCCAAAAGGCTTTGGGATGGGCCCTTTAAGGGACAGATGATGTACCGCTAACTTATTTCCAGCTGACCAGCGTGAAGACCATGTAGGATGAATGATTACACCAGTGCTTCTGTCTCCCCCAGAGCCCCCTGCCCAGCTCATGAAGCCAAGGGAGCCACATTTTGATGGGTCTGTCATGTTGGCCAGCAGCCCTCTGCGTAGTGACTTGCTCAAGCTGAAACTGGGGAGATCCTACTATAGAAATCTGGGTGGCTAATTGGGAAGGGCAATGGGGAGAGGAGGCAGGAGAGGACAAAAGACAGCTCTGGGGGGTGAGAAGAAGTGGAGGACGATGGCTGGGGAATAGAGGGCAGGTCCCAGACTTTCTCCTCCACCTCTGGGCCTGGCCCAGCTGTTGGGCCCCAGACTGCCCAGCTCTGCTGAGAGCCCTTTCCCCTCATTTGCCTAACAGCAAAAGTGGTGGCAAGAAGCCCTGTCCTAACCTGCGGCACCTGGCAAGGGAAGTCTCTTCTTTCCCTTTCTTTCGGCAGGGCCTACTTACATTTCTGAGGACCTGATTATCTTCCCTCCCCCTTTCCTTTAAGTGTTTGCAGCTGCCACTAGCTGATAGCTCTGTACCTGCCATGGAAAGGAGCTTACTGCAAGGTTACGTCTGCAACAGAAGGTTAGAGAAGAGGCTGCTTCCCTCTCCAGAAGCACCTACTAGCCCTGCGTGCTCCCGCCTCCCCCAGTTCGTCTTTGGGACTTGGACTCAGGGGCAGGGGATGGATGATGACCTGGGAGATCTAACGTCCTGATCCTGGTCTAGGGGAACAGATCTCCCTGAATAATTTGGGCCCTGATAATGGACCACTGTTGTGTGAAGTTCAGCAGGCGTCTTTGGCTGCTGTCTTGCTGGCTGCTCCCAGCTAAGCAGGATGGGCCTGGTCAGGATTTGGGAGGGGGAGATGCCCAAGGGAGGCTCTGGGTCTTGCAGGGTTTGGTGGTGGTCGCTCAGTAAGTGATGTTCTACCTCTGAACCTGAAGAGCCCAGCACAGCTCCTCGTATTGCTGTGATGGGGCAGAGGGTGCGTTTGAGCCTCTTTGCTCTGGGTGAGTGCTGAATCCTGTGCTCTGGGGGTGTCTTGCTGTTGGGGAGATCCACAGGGAAGTCCTGATGGTTCACAGTCACTGAAGTCTCCAGGCTATTGTGAAGCAGCAGAGCTAGCCCTGGACCCAGCCACTTCCCAGGTTGAATTATCTCCATTCTGCCTCTGGTTTCAATCTGACAGGCGGTGGTTTTTGCGGGGAGTCAAAGTAGCCTGGCATGGTTGTGCACCGTAAGGCAGCTGCTGGGTCCCATCCCAGAAGGGACATTTTTTTGTTTCCAAGTGATCTGAGGCTGAGCCTGTAGCTGTCCTACCTTGAGCTGCCCCCCTCTCTCCCCTGAGAGAGACAACTATAGGGTCAGGGTTTTAGTGGGCAAAGCCCCCTGGGATCCAGCTGGTGAAGGGGTTAGTATCATAGTGCTTGGGGTCAGAAGGGACCTAAACGGATCATCAGGCCCGAACCCCAGTTGTAAGAATGTAAAGCAGTTTATAACAAAGCAAATCATTCTGCCCCTTGTTGCAGGCCCTGATCCCTCCAGGAGAGGGTTAAGGTAGTTCTGCCAGCTCAGCGAGGCAAGTGGCCCTATCCTCCACCTGGGTATAAAGTAGGTAGAAGAGGATCTCTGAGACTGAGGACCTAGGGTGCGAGCTGAGCAGCCCGAGAGGAGCCGTCAAACCAGGGGAAAGGATGCAGAGGAATTCTTTCCCCCTCTCTAATTATCAATTAAGCCAAACCCCGGCAGGAGGTGAGTCTGGACTGGACCCAACGTGTGGGTTTTGTTTTGGAGCAGGCTGGGAAAGGCTTGCGGTAGCATCGCCCGGATCCATCCTGCTACCCCTGGAGTCCGTGGCAGAACTCCCATTGACTTCAGTGTGAGCAGGATTTGATCCCGATCCAATGGGAGGATGGGTGATGCCTGGTGCTCAGCTGAAGAGATGTCAGTTAATGTGAATATAGGGGCAGACCCAAAACCAGGGTAAATCGGCATAGCTGCATTGAAATCGGACTCGGTCCCTCGGCTGATCCGCAGACCGGGCTGGAGCAAGGCCCTGTGAACCAAAACTGCCTGACTTGCTACAGTACATGCGTGGGAGCTCAGCGAAGACGGAGGCTCCAGGGAGGGCTCTGGGTCCAGCTAGGGGAGGGGCTGAGGGGAAGGCCTGTTATAACCAGCCCAGGAATTGGCAGCTCCATAAACGCCTGTGTGTGTTGGGGAAGGGGCTTCTGGTCTGGCTTTCTGCTACCGGGAGTCATCATCCAGCAGCCCCAGTGCATCACGGCTCCCCTCTGCCCCTCTGGGAATTTGGCAGCTAGATTTTGGGGGTTTCTCTAGTTTCATGCAGCAAACTCTCCGGCTGCAGCCCGGTGTGGTCCAACAGGACAAGCTCCCCGCACAAGTCCTCAAAAGGGGCAACCTCAGTAGCCCATTCAGTCCTGGAGGCTAATTAATAAGCACCAATGCTGCCTGGGCAGCAAGTCAGTGACACGATCGAAGCAAATTAGCACCATCCGCGCGCGTACACGGCGCAGCAAACCCACGATCCATTCGCGCCACCGGAGTTCAGCACGTCCCTAACCCAGGTGACTGCTCCCATAGCCGCAGGGTTTGTCAGGCACGGAGAAGACGGGAGCAACCTCTGAAAACAGCCATCGAGATCCAAGCGTCCAAAATGCACGCTGGAGCGATGCTGATGCTGTGGGAGCACACATCCGCTGCACCGCCGCTACAAATTCAATCCGGTAACCACAACAACAAGCACCGTCTGCCAGGCCTGGCCCCACAGCTTCCGCGCAGCGTCGGACAAGGTCCATCTCCCCCCCGCCTCCCCCCAGGCTGAGGAGACCCAACAACTTCCCCCGGGGCATCTCCGAGAGCTTGACGAACTCGCCATAAACCTGCCTGGCGCTTCGCGGATCAAAACAAGGCAAGGCTGCTCTCTCGGCAGCTCGCAGCCGAGGCGCGCGTGCAGACGGCAGGGGGATGAGGGCTGCGGGGACACCGGGCAGGATGGGCAGCCCCACGCGTGACTCAGGCTCCGGGAAAGACACGGACTCAAAAATCGTGAGAGTCAAAAATAAATACATGGGTTTCACCCCCCACCACACCTGCCACCCTCTGTTTTCTCAGCTTTGGGAGAGGAGGTGGTCGCATTGCCGAGCCCTCCTCCGCAGTCAGAGGGAGGCTAGGAGCTCGCGGGCTCTTAAATGGGAGCTGCGATTCCCAAGACATCCCGGGATGCCGGGAGCCGGGCTCCTGAGACGTCCCGAGACCTCCAGCTGAACCGGGAGGGCTGGCAACGCCGAGATGGCAGAGGGTAGGAGGCATCGGCCCGCGCCCAGAGCAGAGGCCTTGGGTCCGAGGGGGGAAAAAAAAGGACTGTCTCTTCTCATTCATACCGGTGGCCCCCACAGGGTCTCAGTGGAGTTGCTCCTGATTTACACCATGTGAAGGAGAAGGGGACTGAGGACGGAGATGAGACGTGGAGGGGCTGGGCCAGGGAAGGGAAGCTACCAAGGAGGAGTATACCTACTTGGCCTGCAATTGCAGGGAAGCAGTTAGAAAACCCAAAGCAACTACAGAGCTGAGGCTGGCAAAACAAATTAAAGACAAGACAAAGTCTTTTTTTAGATATATAGGGAGTAAAAGGAAGGTGCAAGGCAGCATAGGACCCCTACTGAACAAGAAGGAGCAATTAGTGACAGACAGGGGGGACAAGGCCAAGCTATTCAATGAATTTTATGCTTCGGTGTTCTTGAACAGGGATCAAGATAAGTCTCCTAATGGGTTCTTAGATGGGCATCAAAGGGACACCAGCCAACCAAGTGTCGACACTGACTTGGCGCAGTCACTTGGATGGACTCGATGTGTTCAAGTCAGTAGGCTTGGGAGCTGCATCCAAAGGTACTGAAGGAATTGGCCAGTGTCATAGCAGAACCACTGGCATGGCTGTTTGAGTGCTCATGGTGCTTGGGTCAGGTACCGGAGGCCTGGAAAAGGGCCAATGTGGTCCCTATTTTCAAGAAGGGGAAGAAG